TTCAACAACATGAAAGCACATGTTGTTGAATCTCAGATTTCTATGATTCAACAACATCTAAACTCCAAGTCTGATACTTCATTATTTCTATGATAACAACATGGAAGCACAATATATATTCTGGTGTATATGGATGATATTATTGTCATGGGCTTTAATCGTATATAGATCCAAGCATTCATTAAGCAATTATGAGATCAATTCTCCCTTAAAGATATAGGAATCTTGAACTATTTTCTTGGCGTAAAAGCAACATATACATTTTAAGGTCTTTTCTTATCACAAAGAAAGTGCATTCAAGATTTATTATCAAAGACAACTATGTAGGACGCAAATGCAATTACAACTCCCCTCTCTACTAGTGAATTACTAAAATTATTTGATGGAAGTCTTGCTACGGAACCCACTCAATACCAATACGTAGTTGGCTCTTTACAATACTTAGCTCTCACCGATCTAGATATCTTATTTGTGATCAATAAATTATCACAATTTATATAGCGACCATCTACTATGCATTGGTCTGTGTAGCCAAACGAATCTTGTGATATCTTAAAGGGACCCTCAATCATGGTCGCTTTCTCCGCAAACACTCTCCACTTTATCTCCATGCCTTTGCTGATGTTAATTGGGCAGAAAAATTTGATGATAGAACATCCATATCGGGGTATATTATCTTTCTTGGAGTTAATTCAATTAGTTGAAGTTCTAAGAAGTAAAAGATAGTCGCACGGTCTATAACTAAAGTTGAATACCGTGCTATCGTCATCGCCACCGCCACTACAAAATTCAATTGGGTCACAAATCTACTCAAGGAACTCAGCATCAATTCTACTCTTATTTCTACAATATATTGTGATAATGTCGAAGCTACCAATCTATGAACAAATCCGGTGCTCCACTCTCGCATTAAACATATTGTTATCTGACTTCCATTTCGTGCGAGATCAAGTTGTCCGATATGAACTATATGTTTCTCATGTACATATGATTGATCAATTAGTATACTCACTCACGAAGCCTCTCGTTTGTAAACTATTTTCATTGCATCGGTCCAAGATCGATATTCTTGATAAGAGCATCATCTTACTGGGGCATGATAACAGATAAAATTTTCCTAACCGTATGAAGAAATCTCATTACTCTGTTAAGAAAAATCCTTCCTTGTAATTTATATAAATAAAAAAACATGTGAATGAGAAAAACTGTTTTTATCTTTATTTTCTATTATCTATCTTTTATAGGCTGCTTCCGTTGATGATAGTAGGAATCATACGGTCGCTGTTCTGCTCATCGTCAAAGGCTGTACGTAGTCAACAACGAGAAAAGTAGTGCACAAGCAAGTTGCTAAGATTGAAATTTCGGAGAGATTGTCACAGGCTTCGAGAGTTTGACATTTGAAGTAGTCCACTTTTAGCTTTATTTCATGGTGGGCATTCAACATTTTCTTGATTCCCAAGGGATCCATCCAGAGTAGTTCCATTGACCTTTTCTTGGCAACACCATCAATACATACACACGTCCGCGGCAGGTTCATTTATATCCTCGTCGCTTTCCTGGAAGGGGGAGAGAGAGCCACAGACGCCATCCGTCGTCGCTGAAGCCCTTCACAACAAGAGCTCTTGAAGTCAAAACCAACAGAAGCCACCGCCCGAGTCCGTGGAGCTACGTTGGTGCATGGGTCCCTTGATGATTGCCAATTTGGTTTTGCGTCGTCGGTCATCGTCCTCTACGTTCGCGCCGGTTGCCTTAATGCGCCACCTCCCTCGGCCTTACGACCTTCTAGATAGCAAAAGAAAAATCGCGTGCGGCACAAGCTATATCCACGGCGTTCCTTACCTGTCCCATATGCGACTATATCATAAATCAGTCCCTTCCTCCTCGATAGTCAATCCATTAATTCCCAAGTAGCGGTGTTTGACAGGAGTAAGAGAGAGAGACCCAATTACCATGACGGAACTCGCTTCGCCCCGCTCCGCCGTTCATCGCGACTCCCTTCACCGACAACCGCCTGGACCTCAATTCGACGACGACAATGATTCCGAGTTCTCCTTCGCGGTAGGCGACCCCGACGGAACGCCCTCAGTCACTGCCGACGATATCTTCTCCGATGGCCACATCCTCCCAATATACCCCCACTTTGGCCGCGGCCTCCTCCTCTCCACTTCCCTCTCGAAGGAAAACCACGAAGCGGCAGGGCCGGATCCGCAAGGGATCCCCATCAGAAAGCTTCTCATCGAGGAGCCGAGCTCTCGATGGGGATCGATATCGTCGTCGTCGTCGTTGGAGGCGGAGGACCTGGAGTCGTCCGCGGCGCGGGATCACTGCCCGTGGATACCGAGGTCGGCACCGCAGTCGCCGGACCGGTGCAGGAAGAGCGCCTCCACCGGGACGGAGCGACGGTGGAGGTTGCGGGACCTGCTCTCCGGGCGGAGCCACAGTGACGGCAAGGACAAGTTCCTGTTTCTCGATGCGCCTCCTACGCCGCAGCAACCATTGGCGAGGGGAAAGAGCCCGAGGCTTAGGACGGCGGCCGCGAAGGGCGGGAAGCCGCGGGCAGCGGTGGATACGGTCACTGCAAACCGGACGCACTACGGGAAGAAGGTTGGGAACGGCCAGGCAGTGACGGCACCGCGGCGGTCGTTTTTACCATACCGACAAGAACTGCTTGGATTATTCACTACCCGGACGCGTCACCCCTTCTAGATTCTCATCTGATAAATAACTCATTTTTTGTACAATTATTAAGCTTTTTTAATTAACAAATCAAATAATTATCCATTTCTTGTTATTAAATTATATTTTATGTTACGTATAAAATTAACATCGAAAAGAATGTGTCATTATTCTTCTGGATGTGGACAACAATTGGGATTAAATTAAGTATGAAGTCCCTTTTTTTTTCTTTTTTTCTTTTTTTTTTTTTCCTTCCTTCCTCCTTCTTCTTCTTCTTATTGAGAGGTCATTCTTTCGGAGAAATTCATTTGTGAAAAAAAAATTATATCATTATGAAAAAAACCTAGTCCAACCTTATTAACATTTTGAATTGGATGATACTAATAGGAGATAAGATTTCCCTAATTATACGAGGAAATCTCTCTATTCTGTCGAGGGAAATCCAAAATCATTTCTTCTAATGTCTAAATAGAAGAGGAACATATTAATATATTAAAGCTAAAGCTACATCAATAAAGCTTCTTCAATAATTGTTCTTATCTTCTATTATCTTTCATCATAGTATCAGAGTAGTGAGAAAAGCGAAGCTTTGCTCTTGCCTTCGACCAGCGATCAACGTCGTTGAGAAAAGCAAAGCTTCGCCCTTGCCTTCGGCCAATCGACCAACGTCGCTATAGCCAAATTCCTAAGAGGCTTCACGGCCAATCCTCATCTTCCTCACGGCGATAGTCTTTGTTGATCTGCCAACAGTCGGCAGACTTAGAGAACGAAGGCCCATGCCCTCACAACAATAGCAATTGCAGTAGCAGCAGCGATTTATTCTTGCTTTACTCAAGACTCTCGCTCGTAAACCATTCTTTGCATCGATTCAAGATTGGTATCCTAGATAGGAGCTCATTTCTCATAATCTGTATAAATAGGAAATGGACATATTAATGTAATAAAGATAAAGCTACTTCAATAAAGCTTCTTCAATAATTTTTCTTATCTTCTATTATTTTCATCATATACCTTTTTTTTTTATTTAACGACTTAATTTATTGGCAAAGGATCACTATGTGAGTGTATAAATATTAGTAAAACACTACAAGAAAAAAAAAGAGATTGATGATCATCTAATTAAGATATTTATATATATAATGGTAATAAAGCACGTTGTTAAGTGCGAAATCTATATTCACCTCAATTTCATCTATCTGATTTGCACCACCCACTTAAGTTTTTTTTTTATGTATCAAACATAAACCAAATTGGATGTCCAAAAAATCTAAAACAAGAAGGGGTTAACAGAATCACTGATTGAATGCCAAAAGAAACTAACAGAGATAAATATAGAATTAAAACTCATGATCTGGAATAAACTATTAGATAAAAAAATAAGATGATATATGTAACATTTTTTAATCTTCTTATACGCTATGATTTATATAAACATGCTACCAAAGTTATCTATGCTACTGCACCCAGTAACTCCCTCCCCCACATGCAAATATATTTCTAAGTGGAAGGTAATTGCAGGAGGGCTAGAGGTGGTCTCCATTTCTTTTTAATTTTCAATGGCTTCAATGCTGAACGAAACTGCACTTTGGTCATATTATCATTCCCACATATACCTGCTCATCTTAGTTGGTGAGCAGCGATGAGTTGGTCAATAAATTTATTAGAAACCTCTTATAGTAATTAAATCTCACATATTGAATTATAACTAATATATTAATACAAGTATAAATAATATGTATATGTTATGTTCATTTTATGATATAATTTATGATGTCCATCCTTCATACATATGATAAATAATATATTCATATTTTTAGCTTCAAAAGTTAAAGTATATGTATTTCAAAAATATTATTCATAATATTCTAGAAAATATTGATTGTGCAGCTAATGAACTTGAATATGTGATTAAGTTATTATTATTATTATATATATATATATGTATATATATATGTATATATATATGTATATATATGTATATATATATGTATATATATGTATATATATATGTATATATATGTATATATATATGTATATATATTATTCATAGTATTCTATAAAATATTGATTGTGCATGTAATGAATTTGAATATGTGATTAATTTATGATTATATATATATATATACTTATAAACATATACATATATATAAATATATATACATATACATATATATAAATATATATACATATACATATATATATACA